CGATATGGTCAGGGTGATGATAAATTAAATCATGGCGCAATGGAGCAATTCATTTCAAAAGAATGTAGCCGTTCTCCTTCGGCTAGTGAAAAAGTGACATCCCCACATTCTGTACTTTTCCTCTATTCCCTTCATTGTATCATTTTGTAAATCCCAAATTTCCGTACACAACTGTTCTTGCCCCCCCCCAGCATGCCTCTCAAGTTATACCGTGAGGCACTGATTTGGTATTATTATTATCATTATTATTATTATTATTATTATTATTAGTTTGTATGATGGATGAGGCATGAGCTGAAATTCTGGGAAGCACTGGACAGCTGTTTCGATCTGGTTTGGTTTCATCAGCACAGTGAGAATCAATCAACACAACCACGAATCAAACCCAGGACCTCACCGGTAGAACACAAGCACACTAACCACTCGGGTATGTCCCTCAGATAGAATTCAGTCTGTATAATATCAAGCGATAAAATTCCAATCGAAAATTTACCAAAGAATGAAGAGCTACAGCGGCGATTCGCTTCTCCGTTATTTCGTGGAACAGTAGTTTGTTTCAACCGCAGCAAAATTCCGTGTGTCACTCGGTTCTCGTTGCTGTCGTTGTTGATTACGTCCCTTAGCCCGACGATTTTTGAACCACACTTGAACACGAGATTCTGGCAAACGAAGCTTCAAGGCCAACTCTTCTCGCACATACACGTCCGGGTAGCGCGTTTTCGCGAACAATTCTTCCAGCATGAGCAGCTGATGCCGAGTGAATGTGGTCCGTTCACGACGTTGACGTCGAACATGCGAGCCTGCTGGCGAGCCAAACAAACGGTGAACAAAAAAGCACATTAGGGTGAGAGCAAGCACCATTTGTTTTTCTCTGAGTCCTAATTTGGCACAGTTTGCGATGATACCGTTGTTACTTAATGTTTTCATTCGTTTCACTCCACACTACATATTGAATAATTAAACTTCCAACCAGAGGTTACTGATAGGAATCCTAATAGGGACGATTTCCTAACTCCCGGTAGTTACAACGGTTTCCAATTCATTGTTTCATTCCTAATACTTCACTTTATTAAACACACAATTGTAAAACCGATCATTTTTGGGGAGGAGTTGCGGTCAATGAAAATGATTGTCACTCGTGAACCAAAGAGATGCTAAAATCAGCTTCCGCATAACGAAGTGACACGACGAACTACAAACAATGCAGAAAGACAGTACATGTTACAATGAAAATAGTGCAGATTGGAACAGGCCGCTTTCGGTTCCCAAATTGATTAATGGTCAGATAAATGAATAAAAATCAATCAAGATAGGATATGCAAGATGATTCGACTGATTTTGGTACGGATGATTAAGCAGAAGCAACATAAATAGATGCCTTTCAAATGACAATTCGTCATGTATATAGCAAATGAAGCGTGAACTGAAAAGCTAGGAAGCACTGGACACCTGTTTCGACTTGGTTGGGTCTCATCATTACCCACATGAAATAAATAGATGCAATTTCAACTGGATGTGTTTGGGGTCTGATAGAAATAACCTATGTGAGAATTGGCGCCTTGTTTCTAAACGAATTAATACCTGAAGAAAGAGAACGATCTTTAAAAGACCTATAGATTGGTTTGAAATCCTTGGAAAGCAAAACTGGCTTATCGGCACCGAAAAGCCAGTTATCCAACCGAGATCAGATGCATGTTACGGTTAGAGTTCAAATCATGCGCCGCAGCTCACTCGCATGGGATGTCACGTGACTGGTCGGTCCCGCTATCGACCTTAACAGTATTGACAGGCATAGTGATTATTGATCTGTATTTAACTCGGTGACCCTGTAAATCGTTTTGACGCAATTATAGTTATCCAGCTCCCGTTCAGTAACTTCACATGTCAGGGGCGTACCGTTAAATTGCATATAGCTACAGGGAGTTTACCGGGATTGTAATGTAAAGAATATGCTTTAAGACGTGATACGATAGGACACGGCACATAAGGTAGGCTGTACGTGCAAGTGATATTCGCCGCGTGTACAAAGTTTGGTGCAACGCTTATGCTCGACTGAATTCCCATAAGCAGATTATTTCTCATTTGGACGATGAAGACAGGTAACCTTGACCATAATTCTGGTGGAGACCGAACCACGTTTTGGAGTGGTTCAACTATCATTTAATATGCGTTTCTCATTTGATTAGAGTTTATCGATTACCTGTGGCATGCAATGGGAAACATTTCTCAATTCATTGGAATACGTTGATCAGCTATTCTCCCCGACCAGTGTTCATGTGATCTGATCGCTGTTTGGTGTTTGAACAGTTCGAACCAACCTAGGGCCTTCTTGAGTAATTGATCAATGAAATTTATGGGACCATCGTTTATTTCGTGGCATAGACTGAAAACGGATAATAGCTCATCACCTTGACGAGTGTTGAATCGCACCTGACGATGACTTTTCAAGTTTCTCTCATCGATTATTGGTTAACTTTTGTCCAGTGCTTGCTCCTCCCACCGACCCACCCCCACTCCTTCTATCCATTAATCGGTGAATCCTCGGGAAGCAGCAATTCTCACCTATCCAACTAGAACTGGGCGTATGTCAGTCACCTTTTGTCACTAAGCTATTAGCTTACCCAAAGAGTTAAACTCTGATCACGCGATCGCGGGCAATTGCTACATCGTTCCATGTCATTCACACTGAATGAAAGCTTCGATTACGTCTCTCGTTACGGTCACATAGTGTTAAACGATTTTCGCATCATGACAAATACAGGTCATAGTTGGGATGTCATGTCAGATTCAGTGAGCAAGATTCCCATTGTAATACATGAGAAAACAGGGAATAGCGAACAAGCTCGTTTTCGATAACTTCCTCATTCGGTTAACACAATTATATAAATAGGTAATAGGCATATGCCTATTACCTGTATTAGCCAGATGATGGAGTTATCAAAAAGCAAGGTATACACTTAACAAGAGATCAATTCGATTACTGATGGTTACCCGAGAAGTTATGCTATACCGCAATGCGAACCTTTTAATTTTACGCCGCGTTGTTGGTATTTGAATTTATAAAACCTTGAGTTTATGGATTGTTCCCCATTCATATAAAGTTGAACTGGTTTAAGCACTCACTAAAAACATAAATATGTCAGAGTGAACGATTTTTCCATTCCCGATGCCATATGCTACTAGGTGAATAGCACGAATCTTAACTGAATTCGAACCGATAAATATCATGCCAGCAAATCAATCCAGATAGATTAGCGGTACAGGATGCAGTTCAAAACTCCGCGAGTTTGTACTCGAATCATCATATGCTCAGCGGTGATGCGCTCATGACGACCGAAGAGTACTATTAAAACAATTTCGAAGGTTTTTCTGTGACATATGAGTACAGGGGACATGATACTGTCGGAATGGGGTCAGTTTTTAACTAGTCAATTTTCCAATAAAGGAATAGAATAAAAATCTGCCATAATCATCCTTCTATTCCTCTTCAGGAGGCAATTCAACTTACGCAATGGATATATCGAACCGGGGTGAATGGAGTATCGTTTGGTTTTGAAATTATTTCTGCTTGAGGATTTGTGCTTGAGCAGGGGTAGCCCGGTGGTAATGCCACCAAATTATCACCCCGGAGGATGTGTGATCTAATTCCACTATCTAAGTCTAAATTCCCATTCTCTGTGTGTTGTATGGCAGTCCATTGACGGGCCGCTTCAAGCTTCCCGACAATTGTATAATTCTATGTATTCAATAAACAGAAGTTTTTGTTCGACCAATCAGATCTCATGTCCAATTCCCATTAGATATACTGGCTAGTAACACGTATACTGTGTTCCCCAAAAGGTTTCTCGTTAACGACCTTCCACCCCCCNCCCCCCCCCCCAAAAAAAAAATAGAAACTAGCCTGATGATTTTAATTGGATCGCGAATCTTCTGGTAACTATAATCCGTTTTGTGGTATTTTTCATTGGTTTTCACAATAAAACATTTTTATTTTCCATAAGAACGAGCAGCTTCCTTCTTCCATCGATCGAATCCGCTCAGACAATTCAGTACGATATTCTGTCACACATACGGCTTTCAGCCGTTTACACCTACACGCTAAATTTTATCGGTCAGTTCAGTTTCATACATTGGAAAAAACGTGATTCTGATTTTTCACCATATTGTGGTGAGCACCACCTATCGAATTACTCGGAAACGTGCGAAAGTCACGTGTAGTGGTTCTGGGTCATTTGACGGAAGACTAACCGTGTCTGTCACACGCAGTGTTTGCCTGTGCAATGTCATCGATCGATCAAGTGTGAACGGGGTTGAATCACGTGACCAAATCAAACGAAAATTTGAATATGACCAACGTGTCCGCTGCCAAATGAAGATAGTTTTTCTGTGTGAACCATTTGCTTTTTAATTGATGTCTTACTATTTCATTCTTTTATTTTGTTCACCGCTCACTGTAAAATCTGTATCCCTATGTATCCAACCGATCCCATTGAATCATCAAACAATACTGCGAAATCGGCTTCTGTCCAGAGTATCAAACCCACAAAAAATATTATCATACAATCGACTCAAGCAATGCTTGAAAAAGCTCCTTTGACTGGTAAATTGTCATATTGTGGAGGTTTGTATGGCGATTGTGGAATGTTCAGTAGCCCCGGTGGGATTCGAACCCACGCTTGGACGCCGCCTACGCTTTGTACGCGCATGCTTTACCAGTTGAGCTACGAGGCCACACCGACAGCATTGATCCTTTCACATTCAAATTATTGTGGAAGAGCACATGTCTACTTGTTTGTTTGAATTTTTCGCATTACGCTGTTCAAATTGGTCCAAAATAGATGTACCTTCTCCTAGAGACAACATGTTTCAATTCTATGGCTTAGGTATGGACTGATAAGACCTAAGATCCTGGAAATTTCCGGACGAGTTCATCTAACGCACCCAGAAATTAACGTAAGCAGTTATTGTGAAGAAAGCCTAGAACAGATTTTGCCAAGCAGTTTGTTGTTGTTAAACCTCGAGAAATGTTAAACATGTTGTTTACCGTTCTGTATGATTTCCTTTATCTCTCTGACCACCAAATGATTAGCATCTAGTTTAAAAAATTATATTACTTCCCAAAATACAAGGCATAATATCATTATGGATCATCGTCGTCGTTTTCGACGCCGCTGCAGTCGCAATCATCGAAGGAGTCGCCATGAAATCAACCAATCCATTTTTGAAATTATCGTTGGAAAATAAATGACCTTTTCTTCATACCTCTCACACATTTCAGTCAAGTCACCGATCCCTGTTGTTTCAAAACTTGGTCCTATTCTTCGCGAGATTACATAAAAGTGGTAGCAGTAGTAGTGTCCATAGGTACTACTCAAATTTGTGAGTAGTACCCAAGGGGCTTGATTGGCGATTTCTTTAAAGGGCCAAAAAATAAACAATATATATTGGAGCGAATTTCTGTATTCAGTATGGAATCTACAGAGATGCACATCTACTGTTGGACCGTTCCTTTAACTATCCTGTTTGCGTGTGGGAATTCTGAAATTCTGTTATACAAACGTATTATCCTACCCGAGAAAATGTTGTACAGTTCTGTTCGTAAAGTACTCATGCATCACTTCTGGATAATGCTGATTCGTCGGAGCGAGGCCTGTTCATACCCCCCCTCCTTCTACACACAAACACTCCGTCCCCATTTTCGCGCTAGAAATGCCGTCTATTGCGTGGCCCAATGCGTCCGTGTTGATAACTATATCAGTCTGGCCAATCTCGTCACAACGCTGAATTACATGACTTAGCTGTGTTGGCGTTCAAGTAGTTCCATGGCAATGGCTGACAAA